TAACTTTAACATCCTACCTCAGAATAACTTTGCCTGCATTTTTCCTGTCATTGGAGCTGGTCATTGTGATTGAAGAATGGCAGTCTTCAAAATGCATTGGTTTGGATAGGGAAAACAGTGCAAGCAACAGGTCCAGGTCTCATTGTAGCACACCTTTCTGTGTGTTTATGACCCATAATGGATCACTGTTACTGCCTTTCATATGTAACATATGAATTAACAATTACATATGTATGAATATACCTAAATAATGTATAAGTGTGCACTTACATCTACCAATATGCTAAAAAATTTTATTGAATCTATTCACCATACCTTTATGCTGCAAAATTTGTTATTCATATTCTATATGAATATGTATATATGTGTGTGTGTGTGTTGTGTGTACATAGATAGTAACATTATACATTTTAAGTATTTTGAACCTTTGAAAGTTCATTATAGTGGGTGGGGAAACAAATGATAACAAAGAATAAGGGCACATATGTAAGAAAATGTCAAAGTGAAACTCATTACTTTGCATGATAACCTAAAATTTTAATTAAAATGAATAAAATATATGCAGAAAGTTCATGGATTACAGATACAAAAACAGCACAGTAATGTTCTCATCTCAATATGAATTTCAATTGATAAAAATGACATTCGGTGTTGTTTAATTTTTAGTGCTTAAAGAGAATAACTGCACACTTCAATAATTGTGATGCTCCTGGGAACTTTATATACAGTTTAAGATTATATTATTAGTTTAATAGGCATATCGAGTTCCTTATAATAATTTCTTCCATACCTGATTTAAAGTAGGTTTTGTTCAAGTGTTTGAGAACTACATGTCCATTTCAAAGATGAAGGGAACTAAAACATCCATGATCTTAGAAATTAGAAATAACAAAGGGCAATTATTTTTTAGAAATTTATTCAGTCCTCCTTATTTATATGTGTGTACATATTCACATTTTGTGTCATGTACTAGTGATTGAATCTAGGACGCTGCATGTTAGGCAAGTAAAAGCTCGACCACTGAGGTGGTTCCTCGCCATGTGGTTTCCGTTCAAACTATTATTTCATCCTGTGACATTTTAAATTCTGCTCTTCACAGCTCACAAATTTTTTCTTATGCCTTTGCTTGATAAATAATTTTATTTCTATTTTATGTGTATGGGTGTTTTGACTGGATGTATATCTGTGCACCACGTGTGTTCCTGGTGCCCGTGGAGATCAGAAGAGGGTGTCGGATCTCTTGGAACTTGAGTTACAGATGATTGTGAGCCACCTTGTTGGTGCTGAGAACTGAACCCGGGTCCTCTGCAAGAGCAGCCATTGTTCTTAACTGCTGAGCCATCTCTCCAGCCTCTAGAAAAATAATTTTAATGGAAACCATCTATGTTAAATACGATTCTGTTATGATGTCTTCAAGTAGTTTATATGTACTCATTAATTCTTTTTCTACACATAAAAGCTGTTTTATACACACACACACACACACACACACACACACACACACACACACAAATGGTTTTTAAGCAGGCACATACATATTCACATATTTAAATACCATAGTGTTGTTCATGACGTTTTTATTACCTGGAAATGTATGCCTATCTTCAAAATCCCTTCATCTGTCTTGTCATAGAGAACCTCAAATGTTGGCTTCACACAACCCTCTGTAGGGCAGAGTCTGACAATAGGTTAACATTCTTGGGAGCAGAGTCAGGTTGTCAAATATGAGTCCCTGGGAAATTTATGAACTGTGTGCTGCTTCTGGGTGTGGGGAAGTGGGTGAGGCCTCAGGCTAAAATGATGATAAATGAGGGTTGTCTTATTCTTTTACCTTTCCCCTTTCCTACCAGAGAGGACTTCTTCCTTTTACTACTATATTCAAATACTTCATCTTTGGTTTGCTTTTAGGATGGCGTCCTTAAGTAGCTAGGGCAACTAAATGGTGATCCTCCTGCCTCTGCACCAAAGCCAGATCAAATTACTTTTAAACTACCAACTGGTGTTATTTTGTGTAAAATGAAACAAACAAAAACATCAATCTGCCCTAACATTTTACATGTTTGATACCTACTAATTAGGACTTACATCTTTTTGTACTTCCAGAAACATGAATCTTGAGGTATGAGAAGGTGTTTGTTGGGCTTTCCTTGTGATGCTCTGTCATTTGGGGGACTTTTTATTATGCTGTATTGTATAGTGTGGTGATTTTTTTGGAACACACTTGCCTCTTGAGCATGTGAAGTCTACTTTCCCATAAGCTCAGAAGCATCCCCAATGTTTTTTGATTTCTGGGTGATGTGGTCCTAAGGCTAACTTTGAAAACTGGGGCAATGCACTTTGTCTCCAAACAGATGGTCTGGTTTTCAGCCTTTCATATCCAAGAGAAGCATTCCCTGGACATCTAAACATTTTTGCTTCTGAAGACGAACTCCCCTCTCCCTTACTCTTGCTCCTATCACTCTAATGCCTACTATGTTTTATTTTTAAATCTCAGTGTCTTGAAACTATCTGATACATAAAATAGCAATATATGTTATAGTGAATTATATGATTTCTTTAATATTCCCATCAGCATGTATAATTTATGAAGGCAGCTATAAAATATCTGCCTTACTGGCAGTTGTGTTATTACTGTTATCACATAGGTATGTTGGCACATATAAATCAATTCATATCTATGATCTGTAAACTACAGATTCTAATCATTTCGTGCAACATTTATAATAGCCATTTTCTTGCGGTTCTTCCACTTGGAGTAATTTTTGAATTCTCTTATTATGAAAGAAACATCCAAACATGCATTTTCTTTAAATATTCATTTTTCTTTTTTAATTAATTGTGTGTGTGTGTGTGTGTGTGTGTGTGTGTGTGTGTGTGTGTGTGCAAGTACACGCACATCAGAATGAATGTGTAAAGGTAAAATGACTGCTCTTGGGAGTCAGTTCACTTCTGCCACCTTGTGGGATCTGAATTGAGTTCAGGTCATTGCCAGGCTATGCACAAACATCTCTACCCTCTAAAGTTACCTTACCAGTCTCAAATATGAATTTTTCAAACACCCATGTCTATTATTTCCTTAGGAAAGAAGCAAACAAATTATTGATGATTCAGAAACCAAATTTAGGGCTTTGATTTTTATTCTACTTCCTAGCTAGCATTCTTCCTTCCTTCTTTTTTTTTCTAAACAGCAATTATTTTACTTAAATTAATGTCTAAGAATAGCTCTGTGAACACAGCAGTTTGAGCACTAGCAGAGAATAAGGGCAGGAAGGTGTTGATTCTTGACAAACAGCAATTGGACATGTAATTAGAGGTGCTGGCTGGGTTAGGCTTGCCCTGTGAAGTCACCTCAGAGATCAGGGCTAAATAAAATGGACTTATTGACATGCTAAGCTGAAAATCAAGGTTTGAATTTCATCAAACATTTATCTAGTGCCCCCTAATGGCAATGTCCAGTGCTAGATGCTAAGGAATATAAAGGATAAGCAAAAATAATCCTTGCCTAAATGAGCACAGGATTTGGGAAGAAAAGTACAGCAGGCCACATTCACACAGACACAATGTCAACTATATAAATATGTGACCATGAGAAACAAGGGAGAGAAGGGCATGTCCATTTAAACTGTGGAGGCCAGGGGAGCTCTGTCCATTTGATCTTGCCTGAACTTGGCAGAGGTATTGTTTCACTTACTAGTCTGTTCTTTCAAATTCATTCTCTACTATCCCTTTTCTAATCTCTGTCTCATTAAATGGCATCTCATCGCCTCTAGTGCCCACAAGGGCAAGAGTAAAGAAAAGGACCATCTCTTCCAGTCTCCTCTGCTTGGGCAGCATCACTGGCCTTTGCTGTGTCTCCTCTATGGCATGAGCCTCTGGCCAGATGTAGTGCTATGTCTTCAGCTTCAGCCTAGTTGTCCTGGCCCAAGGACTCTGAAATACCCATGTCCCTCTAGTTTGCAAAGGCTTCCTCTTGAGGCTTATGTGTTCTTTGTTGGCAAGTTGGCTTTTATTATTAAGCAACAAACCCCATGTTTAATCACTTCTGAATGAATTACCTATGGACATTTTCTGTTTTTTGACTTCACCCTGACTGACACATGAAATAGCCCACCATAATAAGACAGAACAACATACATTCTGGCCTGGAAAAGAATGAAGGATCAGAGTACTTAATTTGTGAGATTAAAGGCAGGCTAAAAATAGTCAGGATTTTTCATTCTCATCCTGAAACTGGGCTAATTAGTAGCAAAATCCTCACCTTAATAGACCTTTGGGAAGGCAAGGCATGGTTTAGTGTTTGTAGACCCAATATGAGGAACAACATGTATCCAATGAGATTTCCATTATGTAGGCAAGCCCACCTAACTGAAAATATTTGGATCTAGCCCATGTTTTTATCTTCTACTAATTTTAAACCACCTATCTAGCTCTTTTGGGAGTGACTCCCCCACAGAGAATACCAAAGCTAGAAGGGGGTCATCTTCCTCCTCATTATATACAGGAAGACACCGCAGCTTGTATATGTTAAAACAATTTTCTCAAGGTCACACAGCTGCACAACAGATGTAGAAGCCCCTTCTGCAGTTCTAAATGCAGAACTCTTTCTGTCCTACCCTATGAGCCTTTAGCATGACCCAAGTGCCATCTCATTGCATCCAGGTTCTGTCCTTTGGTAACTACAAGGTTTTTAATATCTTTGTTACTTATTAATAGCATAAAAATTTGAAATAATAGCAATAATATCTTGCTCATTCCAAAGTAACCATTTTGGTGTGATCTTTAAATGCAATACTGTACTTGAATAAAGTGACAGGTATTGTACAGTCAACTGAGATGCAGATAGAATTCAGAGAATAAAGCACATTGTGAGTTAAAAACTCAAGCATACAGAGTTAAAGGTATTTTCACACAATTACCATTTATGAAGTTTTGTAACTACATCATTTTTATATAAAAATCTAGACCATGTTTTGATATTAAATAAACACATTGAGGCCAAGATTTTAGAGATATTATCTGTTTAATAAATATGATTGTAAAAGCAATAAACAAGAGCAATTATACATTACACTACATAGTATTTAACAAAAAATACATCAAAAAAGTCATTTTAAAATTAGAAGTAGTTCCAATACTATAAGAAAACTTTCATTTTTTTTTAAATTGGCTTCCTATAAAAATAAGTTGGCAAATGAGGGGTTTCAATGCTCAGTTGGAATCCTGGAAAACACAGAACAGCTGCCAAGCACCCCATTGCTTTCAAAGTTGCTGTTTGGAACTTCTGGAAAAAATCAAAGCAAACCTCTGCAATTTGGACAGTGAATCCAATTAGGAATAAGGCAAAGGGGAAATGTTGATGGGTAGTTCAGGGTACAGCATGCACAGTTTTCCCTCTGGACTTTTAAGAAATGTTGCAGTATCCAATTTTTAGCTTGCCCTGAATCTTCCCTTCTATGTATTCCTCCCCACACTCTTTTGGCCTTAACCTTGCCAGACTCCTCATTGTATTTGCACCTGCTATTAGTGAGAAGTAGGCACTTGGGTCCCCCCACCACTTATAGGTTCTCAGTGTTACCTTTTCCTTGGTATTCTACTCCAAGGCCTGGTCTCGAGGTTCTCAAACTTGAGCATATATCATAATCACCTGGATGGGTGTTGAAGCAGACTGTTGGGGCTACCATGACCCGTGAACAGAAAACAATACTGTTGATCCCAAATATTTCCAAAATAGCAGGGTCTGTTTCAGCCTGGTTTGAATCTGCATTTCCAACAAGTGTAGGTGACACTGATAGTGTTCTCCAAAGCCTTACACTTTGAGAGCCACTGGCCAAGGTAACAGGGACTCTGAGGTCTCCTCTAAGCAGCAGCTTGCCTCACCAATCACCTATAGGTGGGAGGGAGCTTGGAGGAGAGGCACATGAGGACACTGGAGAAGCTGAATCTATCACTGCTCACTTTGGTCACTTTCTGGGATGCCAGGTCTCTCAAGCCCACCTCTACTTTAAATGAAGACTTACAACCCCTTCTTTCCTGTGTCTCTTCATTCACTCATGTCATTTCATTGACAAATAATTTTCACAATATTATTCTAGGCAAGGCACTGGGCTAAATCAAGAGTGGTCTTCCATTTTTAATAATGACTTTCAAGTTAGAATAATTTGAACTGCAACTCTGAGGATTCCCTGCAGTGGTTTGAGTGAACCTATTTTGGATTCCAAATACTTTGTCTTCCAGGCTAAATATGGAAGACTCCAATTGAAGAGAATCAAGGAAGTTTTTTTCCTATGAGATAGGAAGCCTGGAAGGTTGAGAATTGATTATGTCCCCAGGCATAATTTACTGCACAAGTTCACATGGGACATCTTCTACCATAAAGCTTTCTGGTAGGTTATGTTAGTAACCTCTGACATCAGCTTTCCTACTCTCCCCTATCCTCAGCCATACATGTGCAGGGGTCATGTGATCACTGATACAACCACAAAAGGGCAGGAGTTATACTGATCCCTGGAATACAACAAGATCCTTGACAATACCCTGTTGTTGGCTTTGGGACACACCCAAAAAGGAGGCTGGATTCTGGAAGTGGTTTACCAGAACACCTATCATCTTCACTTGAGAGTGGGCTTTTTCCTGTCCAGAAAAGTAAAGAGACTTCAATCATACAGAAGCACTTCAGCAGGGGCACAAACTCTGCTCGTTTCTGTGGGCCTTCTTTCATAATTCCTTTGAGGAAACTGATTTTCTGTTGCTTTGAGGCCCCGAGGATTATGATCCTTACTTTTCTGTAAGCAGCTATTCTTCCTTTATATTGACTTATTTTTTTCCTTATAAATACCATGACACTCGAAAATAGGAATACACACATGAAATCAGCAAGATCATCTTAAATGATCTAAGCCTCATCCAAATATAAGAGAAGATTGATTTCTGTAGTTTTTTCAATAGTTTCATATATTAAGTTCATTAACCTGCTTCTCCTTCTGGTTAAAAATCAATTTTATTTTACAAATATGGTTACTCTAGAGAGGAAATATCAGATAACAGCAACTATCATAGAACATATTACCCTGCAGTATAGTCACACATTCAAAACATTCCTCGTGAGAATCTTCTAGATTCAGACCACATAAGATTTTCGTTATTGTGCAAAACCACCACTGTTCATCTATATGTTTTACTTTCCAAAGTATATGGCCAGATTTGGGTTGCTTTGCATGTATCAACTCTTTCATACACAGCATATGTTTCCAGGTGGGAAAGACAGAGATATTTGACAAAAGAGGGTTCCAGAGGAAGAGACAAAGGGGAAATGTAACTGAATCCAGCTGGGCAGAATGCAGCCTGGCCAGAGAGCAGTGAAGCCGGCATGCATGGGAGTGTAGAAAATTGATAGAGATGAAGACCTGTGAGAGAAGGAGTCAGGGCTGGCCTAGGCTGGGCCAGTTTTAGGAAATATCAGGTTAAAGGTCCAAAATCTAGCAACACATTTGAGGAGAAAAAGTGAGAGCAGTCAAAAGATAATCGGGGACAAGGAGGAAAAAATTGAAAGATATCAAGAGAAATATGTCCACATAGAGATAGCAAACAAATGGGAAGGTAGAATAATAAGTATCTACTGGAAAAAATTCCCACTTTTTTTTTGTCATTGCTTGTTTTTACATTACTTGGGGCAAGGAGAAAATCTGAGCAGGAAACAAAGGTCCATTTCTGATATGCTTTGCTTCCTAGTTGAAACAGAAGTCTCCCTTCTGTTCCTGTTGAATCTGCCTACATGGGTATGGATCTTTAACTAGGATCGCTGTCCCTGTGGCCACAGAAAATGGAGAGAAATCAGCCTGTGGTCACTGCTGACCAACAGAGCCACTAACATTAACTTAGGAAGGAAAAGTTAACAATAAATAAAGCAGAGAAGCAGCTCAGGGTTTCAAACTCCTGTGCACGTCTTTGTGTCCTGTGAAAAGGCTGGAGATGGCTAATCCACCCTCAGCCCATAGTGCTAAAATAGCTGTTCAATCTAGAGCCAAGAATAGTTCCAAAAATACATGCAGATTTCCTTGGCCTATATATGTTATGAATGTTCTACAAACACGACCGATCAGAAAAAGAGAAGAAAGAGGGAGGGGAGTGTTTTCCATTAAAATAGAGCACCTGTACACTGCCCCTCCGAACGTGTTCTCAAGGTATTGTCCACATGCACAGGCTTAAAGCTAAAAACCCTTGTTGTCTGTGTCGGAAGAATTTAAAAGTCCCGATGCAGTGAGTGTTTATTTGTTAGCTTAGATTTTGATTGTTTTTATTTTATTTTTGTTTGTTTTACTGGCGTCCTCCATTCAAACATTTACATAGGTAGGGATTTCTTTTGTGCTTTGATTCTCAGCAACTATGGAAATACTTCCTGGCAAAATAGGAAACAGAACAACAGAAGAAAAAAAGAAACATAAAGTTAGTGGTCATGAAGGATGATGTACTTGACAAGAGCGAAATTCTTTTCTGATCAGCAGGTCTCCTGTAGTCTTTGGGGGTTTTCCTTAAATTGCAAATTGTGCCCCAGCAGATCCCCGCTTTGGCGATGAAGGTGGAGTGGCTTGTCTTGGTCTTTGCAATCGGAGAGATGAGTCACCAGGTTGAGAAGAAGGGGAGGGAGGGGAGGGTAAAGCTACTCTCCTAAGAGAAAACGTGTAACACTTACTCATTTAATGACATTGGAAATGGAACGGTGTCAGAGACTGCAATGTGCTGCGAGATGTCTCTAGCAAATGGGGAATTGCCACTTTAATAAACAGCCACTGTGATTCATACCATAGAAACGGAGACAGAGAACCAAACGACCCCTTAAATAATGCAGCATTTGAGATGCTTTAGAAGTGAATAGACAGAGTATGTGATATTACACTGGACAGTAAGAAAGAAAAGCTTCTATACTTTTAAACCCAATGCTATTGTGTCTTTTTATCACCCTGTCTCCACCAAATGAAAGAAAATGAACTGTGAAAATTGGACACCAGATGTGGCTGCAGTTGTTATTATTATCTCTGGCTAGTGCTACTCATTGCATTTAAACTTCCTGTAATACAGCCGCAGACCTTTCTCATGTCCACTTAAACTCATTTTTTCCAAGTAACAGATTAAAAATATTTTCTATAAAGGCATTTTAAGTGATCTGGCACCACAACTTTAGCCTGAAGCATGAACTATTATATAATTTCTCCATCTTAGTCAGCCATAGACAGCAGGACTCAAGGAGAGATGGGGATCAGCGATGGTATTTCCATGAGTTTGTTTTAGTCCTTCAAAAACATCTTCTACAATTCATAGTAAGATTTAGCAATGGAACTTCAGGCCTCCTCTGACTAGTTCTCAGACTCCCATGCTTAGGCCCCAAGAAAACAAACTGCACTGTCATCTAATGCCAAAACTTGTAGTCAACACAGAAAAAGGCATCTGTGGGCTCCTCTCTAGCCTAATTCTCCAATTGGTCTCTTAGCATCCCCAAATTCTAAGTACTCTACAAACTGCATGCCATTCCTTGTTCTCAGATTCCTCATTTCCAGGGCAGTAGTTTCAAGACAGCCACTGGACTAAAAGGGAACAAAAATCAAAACAACAATAAAAACCCTTTCTAATGGTCAGGTTAGCCAATATTCTTACATTGGGCTCTTCTGGTGTTCTAAAACAATTTGGTCTCAGAGCTATCTGTAGTACAGATTGCTGTGATCTGTTCATGCCCTGTTTACTGCCTGACTTTCTACCCACCTCCCCCAGACTCTAAAGCTTTGTCTCCTTAAGTAGCAGTAGTGAAAAGACTATATGCTCAATGTTCACATACTTTGAAGCTTAGTGTTTTAGAAACAGATTTTTTTTTAAACGGTGGAAGTCTTAATGAAAGAAAAAAAGCTAGAAAGGAGCAAGAAAGGGACATTTTAGCTGTTCCTCTCGTGAGTGTTAGAGCAGAAAAAAGTGGTTATATGAAGCCAAAAAGGGATTAGAAGGTGGGTTAGTGTTGACTACTCAGCATGGGCAGCTGATGGCCACTGGGCATCATTTACCTAGGAGCTGTGATTCCACCTTCTCATCTACAAGCTGGCCAGGCCTCCTGAGGTCAGGGTGAGGGACACTGGGCCTGCTTTCACTGTGACTGACTGGACTGATCAGCTCTTGTTCTTTCTCATTTTGCATCTGGGCATAAACATTAATCCCCGGGATCTTCCTAAAACATTAACAGAAAGCATCACTGCTCTGTTCCAGAGGTGAGTTTCACTGTGATTTATTGCTTCTGAACCTGTCAGAAGGAGGGAAGAGATTGGGGTCAGGGGGGATGGAAATGGGGGGGACACGCACCTTTTAAACTTGTAGATGACGAATACGGCCAGCCCCACAAACACCACTGAGAGCAACATCAGCATGGCAGATCCACTGTGGGTTGGAGTGAGGTCCACCAGTGGGGCTGGGGGAATATACAAAGGACAAACATTAGCAGAATCTTGAGCAGGTCCATATGATTCACACACAAAATTGGTAAATCCCGGGAAACCAGGTGGGATATACAGGCCCAATGCATGGTCCACAGCTAAGCATGCATCTAAGTGGGTCCCTGTCCTGAAAATGCTCCAGCTGGTCTATACAAGCCCTGCGGTAGATCAAGGGAAAACAGAAGAGGTCTTAGCTCTATTCAACCAAATGCCTGCTGTACAGACTTGGCCTGTTTGCTTCACCTTAATGTGACTAATGTAGCTAAAAGATAATAGTACATACCTCACTGGATGGCTGTGAGGATTGAATTACTATATCTAGTTATCAATCTCTTTGTATTTCCTTTCATTCTAGCATTGCTGCTGTCATTATTATTAATTAACCAACACCTGTTACTGATGGTCTTACATTCTGATCAAAAGCCACTCACTGTAAGATGAAACTATCAAACATGGAGCCTACTCCATATAGCTCAATGACTCCCACCTTTGTTGTGCTCAGAGCCCTTACCTGAGCTTACACCTGGTTGGGTAAAATCATTTAAAAAACATTGTATAATAAAACACTCAATGCTTTATGTAATTTACCAAGTAGTATACTAAAAGGAGCGGGAGAATGGCTCGACAGGTACGCTTCCACACTCTTATAGGGTAGAAACCTGGTAAGGCTAAATATTCTATGTCAGGAATGGTATGCATTATTATTATTATTTCCTATGCATTGTATGCATTATATGTAAGTTTTCCTCACTAAGCACAACGGAAAAGCAGTCAAACCATAAATAGAATGTGTGTGTGTGTGTGTGTGTGTGTGTGTGTGTGTGTGTGTGTGTGTGTGTCTATGTCTGCATGAATTATGAATTACTCATATCACTACCTTGGCAGTTGTAAGACGAAGAACTGGAAAGCTACGGAGCATGAAAACATTTTTTTTTTCACCCAGGAAGGTGATGGTCAAGTGAATGCTTGGGAATATCAATACCCTGATTCTGGGCGAGAGGAGCTTTGTGGTACCCTTCCCTAGAAACTCCAGCACCTCAAGTGCATGGAATTCCTCACAGACAAAGCTAAAATATCTGCATGCACAAGGTTCTGTCTTTAAGTTTTCTTTACATGGCAGTTCTATGAAACATCTCTCCCCAACTCCAAATCTCATCCTCATGGTCAAGCCTTTTGTGCTTGCAATGACTGTTTGCAATTAATTTTTACCATGTCAAGAACTGACAATTGGCAAATGTGGTATAGCTTGAGCCTGAAAACAATCCACCTGTAACTTGCAGAAGCATGGATAGTGACCTTTACCTTCCATCAATTTAAGCAAAGCCCAATACCCAGAAATACAGGTGACCTTTAAGCACCCTTTCTATGACTTTTCTCTATTGAGAGCCAACAGGGTGATGCTCTGGTCATCCAAGCAGAAAAGTTCAGGAGTAAATGACTATAATATTAATAGTCTCAGGCAATGCCCATCGTTGCATCTGCTCTGTCTGATTTTTGCAAGATTATATTTCAGCTTCTACTAGAGACCATATTTCATATGACCATAAAGTTGTTGCAAAGTAAAAGTCTAAGTTTCTTTCTCTGGAAATGGACTTAATTTATGCAGGAGGATCAGCTTTTAGCAGGCGCTGAATATAAGTAACCCTCTTGCTTTGTCTTTGCTGTAAGCCTCTCAATTTTGTGCAGTGAGAGCATGTCCTTGTGTGAGAGCTGATTGGGTAGCCTCAGTATAGTGGAACACCCAAAGCCAAGGTGCTTCATATTTAAACTAAGAAAATGAAGCTCTTGGTGCCATCAACAAAGCCCAGAAATGCATCTGAGTGCATGCTGCTATTGGCAGAACATCACAGGAGAAAAGAGCACTTTCCATTGTTACAGATATTATCTTGGCTGTTTTTAACAGATGGAAGGCAAGGGCCATCAACCACATGACACAAACAAAAGCAGTTAAGTGCTCAGTGCTGAATGCCACCCTACAAGACTTCAACTAGTTAATGAAAGAAAGAAGACTTGAGTGTGAGCCATTCAAACACATACAAATACCCACGATTCTATAGCCCCACCTGGTGTAAAGGATCAAGAAATTAAAAATTACATTTCTCAGGAAAAGGGTTAAGGCAAATGTGATAGATAGCATAGAAAAAATTTCTCAAGTGACAGGAGTTAAAACATTATGTTTTAAAAGGAGCACTTAGGATCCTAGATCATACACTTTTAAACTTTGGTGACACATACATGTATATGTGAAGAGATGAGTCATGGATAGACAGACAGACAGAAGACAGAACAACTGTCATCTCACAACCAATCCTATTCTCTGTATCTGCATACAATCCACATAAGCTCAACCACTGCATTGTTTCAAAATAACTCTGCCCCCCCCCCACCCCATCATTCTTTATCACAATATCATTATCATATGAAAGGAATGAGAATATAATGTAAAAGTAATCTAATATAAACCATTAATTTTCAGTGAACAAATAGCGGTCCAGAGTAGCCATAGACAATGAGGACAGTCAGAGGCATGAATAAAGCTAAACTCCACATAATAATCAGAAGGCCCCTGTAGCACAAGCAGAATAGAAGGGAGCTGCAGCTAAGAAAGCCACAAAACTTAGCTGAAAGGGCAACACTTGAAACTGTTTTTGTTATTATTTTGTTGTTGTTTTGAAACAGAAACTTTACATATAGCACTGGTTGCCTTGAAATTTACTGTGCAGACCAGACTGGTCTTGAATTCGCAGAGATCTGCCTGCCTCTGCCTATTTTCTGAATGCAGGGGTTAAGGGTGTGCACCACTATGCCTGGTACAACATTTGAAATACATGGAAAATAAGAAGAAATTACCCTAACTATGTTCTTACTCATATGAAGGAAATGCACATGCGCATGTGTGTGTATACCCAGACACAACTGGACACCATTTCACTTAGCTTTGCTTCCACATCCTATTGCTTTCCTCTTTTCTAGGTGGAATTTTTCAATCTTACATCATTCACACTCAGATCATCATTCTTAAAGAAGCAGATTAATACTGCTGGGCAATTATGACAGTCTTTGGAGAATATCAGTTTCTGCATTTCGAGGTGTAAAATGCACTATCTATTCCATCTCCTGGTTCTGAATCTCTTAGCCACTTCTTGGAGGCAGGGGAGCAGCATAGAGCCAAGACCAGTAGGGAGACTGAGTGGCACTGCTCTCGGTGTTCCTTGTTTGGCCTCTGCTTACTGATCTGTGCCTGCAAATAAAGGGGTCTATTAATGCTTCATGCAGTAGCAGCCAAATATCTTAATTTTCTCAATATTTAAGTGTGTTTGTATGCATTGCTGAGGAATGGAACCTGCTGATAAATGGATTTGGGCTCATTGTGTGGAATTAGCATAAATTAATCCCTCTCTAGTTGCAGTTTCAACAAGGTAGATATGAGGAAGAAAAGGGCTGAGAAGGTCTTTGCATTATAAATGCATAGTGTATAACATGGATATAAACATTGCTCCAGGTAACTGGACACCCCACATCTCTGCTCATACATCATTTCTAAAACCCTGTGAGGAACTAGGCTATGTTCTGAATTATTGTATTCTATTCACAAGGATTTGAGTTGATTATACTAATAGAAATGTTACCACAGTCATAAAAGAGTGACAGACATATAGGAAATCCTAAACAAATAGTCATAGCTGTGTACGTGAAAGTCAAATCAAAACTCCATAGTTGGGATTCAGTATCTGATATATCCTCTATAGAATCAGATTCTGGGTCTGACTTTTTGGTATAACTCAATTAATAGAAGCTCCAATTCTTTATTTGAAAAAATCAAATGACAACTTTGGGGAGGTTGCAAGGGCAGAGAGTGGATACGAAGGGACAGGGAAATGAATGGGATGGAGATGTATAATGTAAAAGATACAAAGAATAAATAAGAAAAAGAAGAAAAAGAAGTCAAATGAAAATAATCTTTGCTTTAGTAAAATTGTGAAAGTCAAAAAGTCAAAAGAGATGGAATTGCCCGTGACTGTATCTGACACAACAGACATGGCCAATACTTTATGCCCTCATATTAATATTCCCATATTCCTGAAAGGACATCCTAAAGAGTTCTGAAAGATGAAGAAAGAGTTTCTCAGTTAGGTCAATTTGACCCTTGACATTTCCCCCCCTTGAGATTCTTGGTGCACTTTCACCAGTGTATGAAAGGTGTCCAGTCTTGCAGGATGAAAACACATGTAGTCACACCACAGCTTTTCACACACTCATTCAGTCACAGACCTTTTGTAAGTTTAGGTCCTGCTCAGCAAGAGGATTTCTTGGCACATCTCTCTTCTAATGCTAATGTGGTCAAGAAGCTGCTGAGGCAGTTTGTTTTGATTTTCAGTTTTTCCTTTCCTGTCGTTGAACAAACCCATGGCTTCATAGTAAATATGTTAAATATAAAATCTGGGTAACCCAAACATTTGGAGGAATGTGTGTGTGGGTATATTAGTTACTTGATACATTGCTGGAACAAAATACTTGACCAGTGCCACTTAATGGAAGGGTTTATTTGGGATACCTGTGCTAGGGAGTGTCAGACACAGTGGGGAAGGCAGGTTGCTGATCACAGTGTGTCCAGAGTCCTGAAATGAGAGCCATGAATCCTTGTGCTCAGACATTTCATCCTTTTCATTCAGTCTAGAGTTCCATCCAGCCCACGGAATGGTACTGTGCACTGTTAAGGTGGATCTTCACACCTCAGTTAACCCTATTTGTATAATTCCCCACAGACATGCCAGACACTAACCCAACCTACACAATCCATCACAGGCATGGCCAGAAGCTTGTCTCCTGGGTGATTCTAGAATCTGTCGTGTTGACATTCAGTACTGAGGGATTACAGTGACATGGCAATGGCACAGAAACGATGTTTAAAATGAAAAGTGGACAGAGGGACTTCCATTTGCAGTGCACTCTAGCTTGGATAATGGCTCCGCCT